GTTCTGTGGGCAGAGCCCCCCCACCCTCCCCCGAAATGATGCCAGAAAGAAACTCTGCCCTTAATGAAAAAAGAGTGCAAAAGATGTTCCGGTCCAGTCCCAGATGTCATCCAGACATCTTCTCTTTTGTTACCCTCGCTATTTCCCCCCCCCCCCATCACAGGCGTACATTAGGACATGAGACATCTTATTTCTAGGGCACGGATCCGGCTCTGGGGGCTTGTATTGAGTGTTCATGGCTCTCATCCATGTATGCACCTCACTATGCGAACAGCTCCCAATCTAACACCAGGAATCTCCTTAAAAAGTTAACAAAGTAAAACTGGTATCGGGAACCTTTGGGGGGGGGGGGATATTATTGGGACATGACAACTGTACACAGCTAATTCACATTTCTGCTATATGTAGCTTAAGCTATCTTATATGAAGAAAGTTAACCAACCCCCATGACCGAATCATTTCACCTAAATCTTGACCATTGTTATTATTCTGGTTTGTTATAATTTTAATATCACGCACTTATAAATTTACAGCAATACTAAATTAGTTTGTATTCAATGGCATTAAATACTTCAGTAAGTGTAATTTTGAAAACTTAAAAATAAAATGTAAGTTTTTCAATATTTGCAATTTTTTAATACAATAATATATAAGAAAATATAGCTCAAGGTCATAATTAAATATCTATAAATACCACTTAACACCCCAAAGTCAACAGTTAACAAAGTCAACAATTGTTTCACCATAAATAACCATTTAACATAAATATTTACATCTGTATTTCTCGCTAGTGTCCAATAAATGTGACGTTTGTATAACAATCTGCATAAATATAGGTCAAGGTCATAATTAAATATCTATAAATACTACTTAATACCCCAAAGTCAGCAGTTAACAAAGTCAGCAATTGTTTCACCATAAATAACCATTTAACATAAACATTTGCATCTGTATTTCTCACTAGCGTCCAATAAATGTGACGTTTGTGTAACAATCTACATGGGGCCATTCGTTGCTAGCGTCCCACTTATGGGACGCTTGTTGTACACTTGATATAACGAAGTAGTAAAAAAACATTGCTATTCTTAAATTTTCATCAGATAGAAATATGGTACTGCTACAAGTTTCAAATGTATTTTGCACTTAAAATGTTAATATTTTAGAAGATATGCATTTTCCTGTGCGCATGTTTTCTTTTTTCCGCCATTTTGACAAGTCCTGCAAAGCCGGCGCTATAACATTTTTCTAAATTAATTTTTTTCACAAAACACACACAAATTCAATAGTCTAGCCATTTTCAAATACAATAAAACCTAATTTGTGTTTTAACTAGTTTTTAATAAATTTTAGCAATTTTTTTTACAAGCGTCCCATAAGTGGGACGCTAGCAGAATATGGGTTAAACAATGTATGTTTTTAACAAATTGTGACTGTTAGTGAAAGCTTTTAAAAATATTGTTCACAACAGGGTATATTGAGTGGAGTATTACATAAGTTATTGTTCGGTGTTAATGTTAAATAATAGTACATAAACAATTTAAGATACTATATTCCGTAGTACAGAGAATTAACGAAGATAATTTGTTTTTCTCATTTCATCATAGGTTATGATAGTGGGTATAACTATATACCAATAGCCTTTAAATTTCCCGAAATTTGTTCAATTACCCATTACACTTAGTGGGCCCAAGTACGTCTTACGAAGTGAACTCGGGTCTTTTGCGTTTGCAGTAACCAATGTATCGCCCAGCTATTATATAATGGTAATATACTATGTACACGATACTAGAAACATGGATATCAAAACTACAAGTATAATTAATAACTAAGTATAAAAGACTTTTAAACATGGTATAATTTTTTTACAAATGTAATCGGTGGAGGCATTATAAAAAAACTTACAGGAACTGTTAAATGAAAACTGTAATACGGCTGTAGGACGGCCTGACTCCAATGGCTGGTCATCAGATGAGTACCACAGCACTAGTCTGTCAGTGTCACTGTGACACTGACATGTCGCTGTGGAACCTGTCAGGACTGAACCGTTGATGACCCTCTCGCCACTCGGACAGTCAGAAAGAATAATTTTTGTCTCCACGTCCGAAAGTAGGTTTTCTAAAGAAACACAAGTTTGTTAAAATATACAATGGGGAACATAGAAATAACTGATGAAAATAAAACATAGAAGAAAAACATACGTTAATTAAACAAAAAAGTGTTGACCAATCACACTCATTAACAGACAATATTTATTTAACGACATAGTAATCGTCAAGCTTGGCAATCAAGGTATGTCGTGATGAGTGGGTTATAGGTATATGTTTACTACAGTTCTAGAGTCAGCATTATTTGACACTTTCTTCAGAAATTAGCTGGTCTTTTTGGAAATTGTATAATAAAAATTGTTTAAATTCATCTTGTAAGTTAAACATTGATTAAAACCACCCCTTTACTAGAACGAATTATGTTTTTCTACACATATAAGTACATTACCCTTTCAACTGTCGGGGGCAAGACACATATGAATTCTACTTCATCTGCCCAATGTATGGCTAGGTCTAAATAGGAAAATCTTTACTTTAATGAACACATAAACGTATGTTAGAGATCAAGAGAATGATTACAATAGTTGAAAGTAATACAAAGTAAAAGAGAATCAATCACGACCATTGTGTCTATGATTCCTATCAGGATCAAAGATACACCGCAATAGACAGCCATTTGGTGTCGCCTTGAAATAAATTCACGCTTTATTTATAGATGCATCTATATTCTCCCCCCCCCCTCCATATTCGTGTAAAGAGATTGATGAACGATCCCATTGATGCCCGCATTCACTTTGACTGATCCCACATTCTCTATACAGATAAACAAAAACATTCACGAGCTTATAGCACCAACCTGTTTCTGTATATATTTTACAGTGATGGTGCAGAGTCTATATACAACAAAGAGGGTAAAACTGATTACTTTGCAACTTGATGTGTTATGTGGGAATTTATTGTTTCGCCATTCAGTTATCAAAGAGGTTGTGAATGATTTATTACTTTACAATATTGTCAACTAATTTTAGGATTAAGATAGAGTGATAAACTATTACAGTGCTAATATTCTTTTCATATTGTTTATTTTTATAACTCTATTCTTTTTAGATGTATTGGAGAATATAAAAAGTCGACTGCATACTCAAACTTTTTAGTACAATACGTGATTTTAAAGAATAAGGTTCTGTCGTCACACTTTTTGTCGGTTTTTGTTTTTTCCTTTGTTATAAAGAGGGTGGTTCCACAATTAATATGTTATATAATATGAACACTTAATTGTCTATGATAAATGTATGTATTTTGTGCATCTACAATAAACTAAATAGTTGTGTGTTTTGCCATATATGCAAAAAATTAAATATATTTTGTTATTAAAAAAATTTATTATTATTTCTTAAACCTTTAGTTTTTTTTGTAAAAATAATAAATCCACTAACCTGATAGTAGAATTACAACAAAAAAGATATACATGCTTTATAAAATAATCTTGTTCTGAATGGAGCATTTAAAATAGAGAATTTATATTTTCATAAAAATTATCCATTACGATTGAAGTGTATTTAATTCATAAAACATGCTACACGGCAAAATTTATGGTTTCTCTAAAAGTCAATATGAATATAAACACAGTTAATGTAGTGTTAAAATAACCTTCCTTCTCTTTTCTGCTAAACGTAAACTTAAGATAAGACATTATTGGAAGTGACGGAAAATCGATACTAGAGACCAAAGTACTTGAATTGTATTTGAAGTATATACGCCACCAGTGGATTATCACACAGGAAGTAAATATAGTTTAGTAAAGAGACATTTACTTTGTATCGGTGCAGGTCTGAGGCGTAGCGACCCTTCCCGGCGCCCGGGGACAAACTTTCAATTTGGCGTCCCCCTCGGGAACAAACATTCATTTTTCAATTTGCAGCCCCCCCCCTCAAACTTTCCATTTGCACCTCCCTCAAACTTTCCATTTGCACCCCCCCCCCCCAATAGTTTTAATATTTTTAATGACAAACTGCACCTAAAATGAGATTTTCATTTGTTTTTCCAAGCCATTTTGGCGCCCCCTAAGGTCGGCGCCCGGGGACATATGTACCCCCCTGCCCCCCCCCTCTTCGCTACGCCTCTGGTGTAGGTTTAGCAAAAGTATAATTTGATGGCGAGACGAGCGGTTACTTTCCTTTAAAACATGATGAGAAACAACATGACGCCAAAACATTTTAAAAACGTCTATTTCTATTGCTTAAAAAAAAACGATTACATAGTTTAACTAAAAAGTGTAACGGTGTGGTCGGATGTTTATGCTAACAATAGCTAACACGAAAGTCTCGAGTTCGAATCAAAGGCTCATGAACGATTTACGGAAAGTCAGTTATGAATTAAGTGCTATAGATTTAAGGTTTAGGTTAAATAGATTACACATTTAAAAATATAAAATAAACACCAGCCACTCAACATAAAATAAAAAAAAACATTTTAAGTAATGTTTAATATTTTTAAAATGGAATATTTGTTTTCATTGTATAGGCCTACATATTTTAGGTACAAAATTATAGTATACATAAATTCAGAAAATCATTTGTGTGATTGATTTTCAACTCTCCATTTCACAATATTTCTACTAAAAACGATAATTGTAACATTTTATTTTATTTTCAATGTGAATTATTTTCAATATAAAACAAAAACCAATTAAAAATCATTACAGATAGTATTCTAACATAATCAAAAATTAATTATTTAATTTCTTTACAATTTTATCCGATTTAATAAATTTCGGCGAATGTTTATATATAATACTTGAGATTTTTTAAAACCATATTCCTCTAATAAAATACACATTTAAAAAAAAAAGTATGCACTAAAAAGATATTTTATCAAACAATGTAACTGCTATTTCCTTTAATGTTCACTGTCTCGGAGTTGCGGATAGGTTAATCCAATTGATTATCTGATGTGTTAATCCAATGGATAATCAGGTGGAGGTTCAAAGTAAAATACAAGAGCGCCAGAGCTGTCTTCCATTTGAACTTTCTGGTGGTAGCTGTCGTCTGTCTCAACTGTATGTAGAGGTGGTTCAGTTGTTGTGGCAGTGTTTGCTTTATCTGGACCAGATAGGTCTTCACATGTGAAAGAAATGATACTTGAATTATATCTACAGTCGCAAAGTATTAGTTGAGTTATATCTACAGTCGCAATGTAATACTTGAATTATATTCACAGTCGCAATGTAATACTTGAATTATATCTACAATCGCAATGTAATACTTGAATTATATTCACAGTCGCAATGTAATACTTGAATTATATTCACAGTCGCAATGTAATACGTGAATTATATCTACAGTCGCAATGTAATACTTGAATTATATTCACAGTCGCAATTTAATACTTGAATTATATCTACAGTCGCAATGTAATGCTTGAAGTATATTCACAGTCGCAATGTAATACTTGAATTATATCTACAGTCGCAATGTAATACTTCAGTTATATTCACAATCGCAATGTAATACTTGAATTATATCTACAGTCGCAATGTAATACTTGAATTCTAATCTAATATTTGGTAAATAGCATTTTTTTTTAAATGTCACAATTTTGTGCATACACATTAAAGAAAAGCAACCATTCATCACGCAGTTACATACTTTTTAACTATGGGTGTTTATGGTGTTTTTTTATTAGGATCATAGTTAGAGTAAGAGCTAAATTCACGAACTAAGTCAATATATGAGCTTAGTGTAAGGTATTTAATTTAAAGTTTAAAACTATATATAGAATCAGCGCTGAAATACCAATACAGTTAAGAAAAGTGATTAAAGAGGTCAACAAAGTAACATGATCCCAATTCTTACTGTTTTTTAAGCTTGCCCTATGGAGATTCGATCCACTAATGCCATAGTCATGGTGTTTAGCTCTACGACTCGACCACCTATTGACAACAACTCTTCCGACGATGACAGAAGTAACCAGTAAAATCAGCAGACCACAGGTGACACCAACATAGACCATGACGTGGAGTTGTGTGACATCTTCATTCACTAGTGAACACAATATGAGAAAGTTGTTAGGTGTGGGGTTTTTGGTGGTGTGGGTGATGTTTTGATTACATATCCAACATTTTGAAGCATATGAAAACTAACGTATCTATGCCGCACTTAATACTGTAAACGAAACCGCAATCGAAAATATATAGTCCAACATTGGTTTCTAAATTATAATGTGCCCCGCACGACTAGTATGACATTAAATAATATCTATAAACGACAATTTCGGACATAGAGAGTAAAGACGTTATCGGAACACGAGTCTCTTGGACAATTGGCAAAATATATTCTGATAAGTACAAGTAGATATGTCTTAAAGATAATCATAACATGGAACTTTCAAAACGTTTGATAAATTTAAAGTAAATACCCCCTTATGATTGGCGCATTGCTTATGCAATCAGAATATCTTAACATAATACTGGTAGTAACAAAATAACACAAGTATTTCAAGAATAGACTATAGACAGGTATTTATATCACAAATACAAATATTTACCCTTTTCACTCATATCTTGTTTAACGACATCAAATGTGAAGGTGATATTTCCAGCACTGTTCATTATAGTGAATATATACGTCAAAGATATCTGTGTGTTCTCGTCATAAATGGTCAAGGTAACTAAACCAAACGGGGGTGTCAGCTTAGTATAGAAGACGTTATAGTCGTCAGTGTTGGACATGGACTGGCCCAACTGTATCTGTAGACCGTAGGCCGTGGGTTCAGGATAGCCCAATATCTCCAGTGTGATGGTCGTGTTGCCGCTCTCTGGTATCTGGATGGTCAGAGATCTGTTGACCACAGCAGGGGCACCTGAAACATACACATACATGTATATAACAGTTCACCTGAAAGTATCGAGTTCGAGTCCACGAATCTACGCCTTTTCTTCAAATTTCGAGGTTACTGAAACTAGTTTAACTCTACTTCACCTCCCCATAGACGTCAAGTTGGGAAATGTCTAACCGTATTTTTACACAAGTCACTGTCTCCCCTTTCATAAATAGGAGAGCTTAATACAAGTATGATGTGATTTTAGAGTGTCTAAGATACTGGGACTATGAATAAAAGAGAGTAAAAATATGTTAGAGTAAAATCAAAACAAACGGAGATGGGCGATTGTTTTTTACCTATTATTAACACAGGCAAAACAAGTGCTTATAAGAGATTTGTAAACAATGTAACTATTCTATATAATTAACGTTAGACTGTTTCAGAATTAGATATGTGTAAAAGAAGCTAATCAGTATCTTTTATCAAATATGTTTAACATGTTTGAAATTAGCATTCCTACACCTTTCATCCGATATCTATGAAACTTTGGGAACTTGTTAAGAATCATGAGAAGTTTTTCGCGTCATTTGGCGCCCTGGCAGTAGGATGCGGACCATAGGAAGTCAGGGGTACTAAGTGATGCTGTTGCTTAAATAGCATACCGGCGGTCGGGTGACCCGTAGCGTCCCGGTCTCCAATAAGAGCACTATGGCGCCTACATTCGATATAATGAGCACCCTGCAATATGGACACGATGAGCCATTACATTTGACTAAACCTAAAAAGAGGTCACAACAGGTGCCCCTGCGGTAATGTAACCGGTATCTCTTTAAAGCTTCCCGCGACGGCCCTGACAACATTGCGGTCGACGAGTTGTGTTACCCTTCACTTTACGGAAGGCGATTGACGTAACTTAAGGCTTTCATAACGCACGCCCTGGGGCGTCTGGAGAATAGTGTGAACAGCCCCGCACCGTAACAAATGATACCAAGAAATAAAGTGCGGGCATTGCTTACATTTAACTAACTCAGTTTTGGAAAACGATGTCAAACGTCTTGAAATACGCGATTATTGACGCGTTGTTGAAACCTTTATTCAATGTTTCGTCACTATGTGTACGACTAGATCGCAGCAATGCGCGGTGAGGGTACGTTATTTTTCTATATAAACGTTACATTACTAAAATTGACATTTAAAAATTATGTTGCTTTGAATTCAAATTAGTTGAGGTAATTTACAATTTTAATATATTATTTAATATTGAATTCAACTTAGTTAAATGAACACTAATTAATAATTCCTTGGTCTGTACTTAAATACAGCGAACTTACATTCCATCAAAATATCAACAAATTTCCATATTTCGTGCGAATTGGTCTCGAACCCGTTGCTTCCCCAACAGAAATATCGACCTGAATCGGTACACTGCACTTCATCAAGAACCAGTTCCAGCCGGCTGCTGTTGGACCGTTGGTCTTGAATTCTACTCAGGTTACTTCCTGTTATAACAGCAACTGCTTCTGGAATCGCTTCGACTTCACAGAAAAATTTGATCTTTTCACCTTTTGTCAGTTCGATTGACACCATATCATTTACTGTAAAACTTATTGTTACTGGAATACCTGAAAATACATTAGAAATCTGTTCGAACTGAATCATTCATTACTTATGATGATTTTCTTTCACACTTTACATCACAAAGTGCAGCTAATGCACACTTCTGGATGATTTACTTTCATTTTGTTTGGAATTTCGACTAATACAAATTGTACTTTAATTAACAACTTTACCAGTTTACCTCTACAAACACAACTTACACATAATCTTTATTACAGATCATGGTATATTTGGTTACGTTGACAAATATTTTAAGTTGTAAGAAATAATGTTATTTTATAATTATACTGTATAAATAAAATAGTATGAGCAAAACTCAAACATTATTTTTGTGTGTTTATAATCTATCTATCTATCTATATACTACTAAAAGTCAAGTTTGTTTACATGTTTGAATATTTATTTTTTTGTTTGTTTGTTTTTTTGTTTGTCCGATCGAGTATTGTGATATGTTCGACTCTATCTGGAGAGCTGTAAAATAGTATGTAGGTAGAAAATAATTTTTTAATGCAGACAGACTGTTAATCACACATTTATTTAAAGACGTTAATTAATTTATTGATTTATTCATACGTAGAGTAACCCTAGCATATATGTTGGGGCGCCAAAATGGTTTGGAAAAATAAATTGAAAGGTTGAGGGGGGTTCAAATCAAAAGTTTGAGGGGGGGGGTGCAAATCGAAATCTTGCGGGGGGGGGGGGGGTCAAATCGAAATCTTGCGGGGGGGGGGGGTTCAAATCGAAAAGTTTGTCCCCGGGCGCCGGGAATGGTCGCTATGCCTCTGAGTGACAGACGTGATGTTTTTTGATGGATGACCCCCGAAACCCACAGTTATCCAACGGATGACGGGTATTCTAGTATACTACTAAAAGTCAAGTTTGTTTACATGTTTGAATATTTATTTTTTTGTTTGTTTTTTTGTTTGTTTGTTTGTTTGTTTGGCTGATTGGCTATCTCGCATGGTTGCACTCATCGTGGAGAGCTGTAAAATAGGTAGAGAAATTTTTTTGTTTTAAGACAGACTGTTAATAACACATTTATTTAAAGACGTTAATTAATTTATTGATTTATTCATACGCAGAGTAACCCTATTTTTTTTAAAAGTGTAGAACGAGCACTACACTCGGCGGGACCGTGACGTCACAGTTTTTGTTTACTCTTTAGTACAATAAAATGGCGGCGTCTATCGAAGAAAATTGTGTTCCCATTCAAAAGTTTAACGCGTTCTAAATCTAATTTTCTGTCGGTCATAACTTTAACAATACGTCCGTTTGCTGTATTTATTACGTTTCAACACTTATATGAATTTTCAACTGTCTTTTACATTTAGTTTTACGATAAATTTCTCTAGATCTAAAATCTGTCCAAGAAAGTTATTTATAGATCTAGATCTAGAATCTAGGACAATCTAGGTCACATCAAAGATTTATTAGTTATAAATACAATAAAAAAAACGAGACTTAAGCAAACCAGTCGTAGATCTAGAATATAGATAATTCTATCTAGATTTAGATAATAATGAGTTTCTATATACTAAACTATTTTAGACCTATTTTGTATAAATCTTTGTTTGGAATATGGTAATTTTGAAATGCTCGCTCCCGGGCCTATTGGTGTAGCTTAAGATTCATACGCGGCTTAGATGCCGGTAATTTTGCTAAATTATAAACGTAAATTCTAAATATAGCTCAGTCGTAGATCTAAAATATAGATAATTTTCTATCTAGATTTAGATAATAATGATTTTCTATATACTAAACTATTTTAGACCTTTATTATTTTATATAAATCTTTGTTTGGAATATGGTAATTTTGAAATGCTCGCTCCGGGCCTAATGATTAGATCTAGATCTAGATTCTAGATCTAGCAAGAAAAACTAAACTTAAGACTTAAGCAAACGAGTCGTAGAATCTAATCTAGATCTAGATAATTCTATCTAGATCTAGATAATTTCAGACCTTCTTTATTTTATATAAATCTTTGTTTGGCTAATTTAAGATTAAATTTAATTTGAAAGTTACTACTACTAGACTTAGATCTAGATCTATGCGCGTAAATCAAGTTGCAAAAGGAGACTTAAAATATAGTATAAAAATTCACTTGTGACGTCACGAGTAAATAGCTAAGTTTGTAGCGTAGCCTTCTCTCATGCGGGTGGCACAGGTTCTAGACCAATATGTCAATGATAATTTTTTTTTCAATTTTTTTTTTGATGTGAATGATAAAGTTGCCTATCTGAACTTGGCAGGATACAGGGCAGGTGAAGTAGAGTTCATCTGTTTCTTTGTCCTAAGCATATGAAAGGATAGTGTGGTCAGAGACATGCTCGGCTGGAATCGTTTTTTAAACGATAAAAACATGTTGTCTGAGACTTGGCGGGACACTGGGCAGGTGAAGTAGAGTTGAGTAGGTCACATGTGACGTCAGTATAGCTAGGGATAGTCCGAAATCGGTGTTTTCGGTGTTTTTAAAAGATAAGAAACATATTTTTGAATGTGGGGTCTGTTTTTTGTGACGATAAATGACACTGCAGTAGCGTAGCGAGGAGGGGGGGGGGCGGGAGGGGAGGCGGGGGGAGGCGGGGGGGGGGGGCGGGGGGGGGACATATGTTGGGGCGCCAAAATGGTTTGGAAAAATAAATTGAAAGGTTGAGGGGGGTTCAAATCGAAAGTTTGAGTGGGGGGGGGGGTGCACATCAAACGTTTGAGAGGGGGGGGGGAGTTGAAAATCGAAATCTTGCGGGGGGGGGGGGGGGGTTCAAATCGAAAAGCTTGTCCCCGGGCGCCGGGAAGGGTCGCTACGCCTCTGAGTGACAGACGTGATGTTTTTTGATGGATGACCCCCGAAACCCACAGTTATCCAACGGATGACTGGTATTCAGGTTATTAATTAAAAATCTGATCACTATCCATTACCATTATATTCTTTTTTAACGACATCAAAAGTGATTGTACTATTTCCAGCAACGTTCAGAATAGTGAATATATACGTCAAAGATATCTGTTTGTTTTCGTCATAAATGGTCAAGGTCACTAAACCAAACGGGGGTGTCAGCTTAGTATAGACGACGTTATAGTCGTCAGTGTTGGACATGGACTGGCCCAACTGTATCTGCAGACCGTAGGCCGTGGGTTCAGGATAGCCCAATATCTCCAGTGTGATGGTCGTGTTGCCGCTCTTTGATATCTGGATGGTCAGAGAACTGTCGACCACAGCAGGGGCACCTGCAACATACAGATGTATATATGTATGTATATATATATATATATATATATATATATATATATATATATATATATATATATATATATATATATATATATATATATATTTATATATGTTTTGATTGTATTAAAATCTCAAGTTAGATTATAGACCCAGTGGGCGAGGTAGTCTTATGGCTCTTAACAGGATAATCATGCACCAGTGGCACGAACTCGAAACACAATGAAGTGGACATATCAACTGGTTATGCACCATTGAGACAACTGATTCCGATTTCAGCCTGCTTTTTTCTTTGAATTTGCATCCAAAAAGAATAAACTACAAGGCATCAGTTGTTTGATTTTGGAATTGACTCTCCTAGAAGAGTGGCTGTCCCCAGCTAACGAGCCTCACCTGCCTGAGGGTTCGAACTCGAGACTTTTCGGTTTAGCAACTATGAGCTTTACCGACTCGACATTGCAATGCGATAATACTTATAAGTTTAGAAACGTTATTGAAATCGTTTTGTAAAAGCCTATAAATATACGAACCATCTTTGAATGAGGTAGATCAATTTAATAATCAATTTAAAAAAAAAAAGCCTCTTGTAGAGTCACTTTATCGCGTGGTCGAATGTTAGAGCATTTGACTGCTAGCCCGTATTTCTCGAGTTCGGATCCTTTTAAAATGTAACGATGTTTCTACAACGTTTAACTTTTTTATTTTATTTCGTTGAAGAATAATGTACATAAAAAGCTATGTTAAGAATTGAGTTCATATCAGTCAAGTATAAATATCTTCACAGCCCCGCTATTCAAAACAGAATAAAGAAAACTTACATTCCATCAAAATGTCAACATATTTCCAAATTTCGTGCAGGTTGGTCTCTAACCCGTTGCTTCCCCAACAGAAATATCGACCTGAATCTGTACACTGTACGTCATCAAGAACCAGTTCCAGCCGGCTACTGTTGGACCGTTGGTCTAGAATTCTACTCAGGTTACTTCCTGTTATAACAGCAACTGCTTCTGGAATTGCTGAGACTTCACAGAAAAATTTGACTTTTTCACCTTTTAGCAGTTCGATAGTCGAATTGTTATTTATTGTAAAATGAACCGTAACTGGAATGTCTGCAAACATAGTAAAGGTTTCATTATTTCGTCTGTTCAAAACTTCATTTTTTAAAAACATTTCATCAGAAAATCGCTATCTATATTTATTTTTGAGATTTGATTTAATATAGTCATTTTTGGCCCGAGTGTTACGCTGTATTAGCGCAAATTGATGTAGATTTTTTTTTTCAGATTTATTATTTGACTATTTAATTAATTTCTAAAATTACGTAATCAAAAACATTCGCACTGGTAAGATACACTTATTTGAATGAAAAGTGATATTTTAAATTAAAAAGACGAATAAAGTTACCAGCAAATTGTGGAACAAAGTACTCAGCACTTTCAACTGTTGTTGAGTTGTCTAAGTATTCACGGCACTCATACCACTGATTGATTGCTACAAAGACAATACATATTTATTCTTGATCACAACCATTAGCATCTTTTAAAATATGTTCCCGTTGTAGTTAAATGAAAGTTTTAACTCTTTATTTATGTAACCTGTGTATTTAGTATTTTTTGTGTCATTATACATACGTACAATTTTCAATAACCCAAATAGTAAACATATTTCTAAAAAGTTTGTTTATTTCTACTTTTACCTGACGACATACAAATATAACCAAATGATGATTGGCAGTTCCTGTCACTCAGATATCCCGAAGTAGAAATCTGAACACAGTTTTCACTTTGCAATAAATTAGCCGCATCTTTATCAGCCCACATGCCATCAAAGCTTGTTGAACCCCCGTCAATCCATTTCCACTCTCTATTTTCCGTAAAAGCGCCGATCCAGTCTATCAGAAAGATGTGATAGCTAAATAATTATTGAAACATTTTACGTGATGGCATGATTACACACGTACTAAATAAAGGAAATGTGATGATAACTGTCTTGAGGTAAGGGGTTATCCATAAATGACGTCACGCTATTTTGGATGATTTTTACCTCCCCCCTCCCCTCCGTCACACATCGTCACAAAAAGCCCTAAAATTACGTCACACCTCAGCCTACAACCCCCCTCAAAATTGCAGTTGAATTTTTCTTAAAACATCGATATTTTTCCAAAATCTTGTCTTAACTCTCTCAACATCGAGTATTCTAATCAATTCCTATTTCTAACATTGCTTTTTATAATGCAATGTCGCACCATTTGACCCCCCCCCCCCTCGTCACACACCGTCACAAAATTACGGACCCCCCTCCCCCCTACGAGTGTGACGTCATTTATGGACCACCCCTAAGTTCTTCACAGTAAGGGAAATGTAATTATCATTTGTGTTCGGATTGGACGTATGGGCGAAGTGGGAAATAAATATATTTGAGGTGTCGGAAATTAGAGGAAAATATAGCTTTTTGAAAACATATATTTACATGTTGTTATATAACTATTTTTTATATAAAATTAATATGACTCTATAAAGAAATAATAATCAATTAGGGTTCTATGCAAACAATCAAAAAGCTGACAAAAAAGAAAACTGAATAAATAATAGCCTGCAATTTAATAAAAGCCAAATTTGCTAATTATTATTTCATATAAATACCCGTGATTGTAGTTTATTGTACAAATATTGAGAACGAAACTCATCACTAAAATGTACGTTGCTAGCCTAGTTTTAAAACCTATACTTAAACACACTTAAACTTTTTGAAACCTCATAAATAATTTTACCTTTAAAATTCAAATATCATTTACAAAGACAGTCCTTTATATGAGTTAAAACTAAAGCGTTAGTAGTTTTTTTTTTGCTCTATTTTATTGCTTAAAAATTATTGGTAGATCTAGTCTTTACTTATAGCAATTTATATTTGCGCATTAAATTGAGTACATGGTTTTCCCGATGTAGCCTAAAGATTTGCTATAGTATAGAATTATATTAAGTTTGACGTTTACATTTGCACACATTGCTTTGTTTGAACTGTTTAGGTAAACAATAGTATCATAATAATAGCTTAAATTTTACTAAGGTGTTTAATAAAATAACACACTAGATGGGATAAGATATAACACATTTTAGTTAAAAGAAACTTCTCAGGGAATGCGTAAATCAACGATTTAGAAAAGAAACATTGTTTTGTATAAAAGAACCAGAGTTTTTAGTGTGTTCAACCAAATCCTTACAATTAGCTTGAAGAGACTGAAGTTTGGACTTTAAATACAAGCGTTCATCATCATTTTGAATAGTGGCTAAATGTTGATAGACGACTGTAGTGCATTCAGTCTGAAATATATTATTGCATACTTTGTTCCTAACAGAAATTCATGTTAGTCTGTATTTTTTTAGAATGAATATTTTAATGAAAAATCAAACTGGTTTAATACATATTTAAACAGAAAAACACGAAAGTTAGATGTGATAAATAAGTAATGATAATAAATTTGGTAAGTATATATTTTCAAAACATTATAATTGCGTTGTATTTGGGTTAAAATAATAAACAAAGTCAGATAACGCTCAGGCGTATATTAGTCGTTTCGATTTCAATAAGAAAATAAGCGACATAGTTTATTTTTAAAGGATATACACCTCAATTCCTGAAAATAAAGTAGAAAAATAATTCTAGGGAAATCGGACCAAAACTCAGTCGAGTATTGAACTGTAATGCTTCTTTTCTTTAAATGTGCATAAAAATGAAAAAAAAAGCACTCTCTAATGAAAGGATGTAGTTGACTGTAGTCGTCAGAACCGACCACATCAACACGCAAGATACAAAAAAAATATGTATTTGACGAATAAACACAGAATACCAATATTTAATACAAAAATTATATGTAGTTAAAAACCGGATCCCCATATCATTACGGGACGCAGGCGAAAAAAAATTGAAATTTATTTATAACTATTTAAAACAAAAATTATGTTTTATTGTATTTGGAAATGTTAGACTATTGTACTTGTGTGAATTTTGTGAAAAATTATGTTAGGAAAAAGTTTTAGTGCCGGTTATGCTTGATAACGAGCACGAACAAGAGTAGATCTTCTTAAATTTTGACATTTTAAGTGCTAAATACAATTGAAACTTTTATCAATATCGTACTTCTATCTAATGAAATTTAACAGTAACCAGTTTTAACTACTTCGTTATATCAAGTATACAACAAGCGTCCCACAAGTGGGACGCTAGTAATTAATATTCCCTATAGATTGTTGCACAAAAGTCTCATTTATGGGACATTAACGAGAAACACAGATGAAAATTTATGTTAAATCCTTGTTTATGGTGAATCAATGGTTGAATTTGGGGTGTTAAATAGTATTTATAGTTATTTAATTATGACCTTGACCTATATATTAGTTATAAACCAAGTGCGTAAACGTTAAATGATATCAAACAATTATAAAATTTGAGGACTTGGGATGTTTTCTTTCATGAAATTATAGACGAATCAGTGCGTAGCGAGGTCGGGTGTCACCTGGTGCGGCACTTAATGGTGTCACACCCCAGAGGCGTAGCGACAAACTTTCAATTTTCGATTTGCACTCCCCTCAAACTTTCGATTTGCACCCCCCTTCTCAAACTTTTCTCTATATATTTTGTTGTTTTTTGCCTTGGTGTCACCCCCCTAAATGGTGTCACCCGGTGCGATCCGCACCCCCCCCCCCTCCGCCCCCCCCCTCCCCCCTCGCTACGCTTCTGAGACGAATAACTGGAATAATTTTGAGGAACATACCAAAAACTTTAAAAATTCATTAATAGTTCTATATAATTTCAGGTATAATGTTAATTTTGTAAGAGCTGATTTTTTAATGGATCAAATAATGAAAGTAATACACACACACCAGAAACATGTTTGATGTCAGAATCAAAAGTAATTTTACCTTAGCATCATACCAATTAGTCATTGTCGATTCAAATCCAAAACATCTCCCTGATAGATTATCTTCAGTTAAATAATCACATTCTTTAAATGATAAAAGAAAATGTGTTACATCATCTCTTAAGCAAAAATAAAAGTAATACGAAAAACCTTTAAAGCAACAAGCGTTAAAATGCTCTGAAAATAAGAAATTAAACAAAATCTGCTTTCTCTTACAAAAGCTGTTAGCTGTAAAATATGTGACTTATCTAATTTTGATAGTTGTTTTATTTTCTACTTTTTAGTGATTCCTAATTTATGAAGTGGACACGACTAAAAATATTTCCTTTAAGCGTCATCAATAGCTTGCGATATCTGAAAGACTATTATCTGCCCAGTGAAAGAAACTGTCCGTGATCACAGTTAACAGAAAACAGCAAGCTGATCAAGCTAAGGATAGTTCTTGACCTTGCTACCTCCCTTTTGTTTGAAATTGTTTAAAAACTCTTTTATCCGTCGCTAATAACCTTGACAAACTCGACCCGGCTAGACGATTTAAACGAGCGGACATGTCGGGTGGAAGCGTCTAGCCAGTTATCTCCCCATCTGTTATTGAATATCGCAATCTGTCTAGTTATCGCTAACATTTAATCGTTTTTGTCCCTTTGGTTTCGAAACAGTTTTGTTAATTTTTTATGTTTAATTTAACATCTCATTAAATTTAAAAAAAATAACCAGATATTCATTTCCCTCGTAGTCGAAGGTATCTGGAAAATAGCTACGAAATAGCTACTAAAGAAGTTTTACATAATTTAGCTACAAACCCACAAACAGATGTTGTGATTTGTGAACTAAGTAAAAGCTTGTGAAAAAAAATAGAACCAAATATTGTAGCGTAACATCCATTATCTCATAAATTACTGAGGAAGTACTGAGAAAGTTTAGAGGAAATTTTGTAATCGTGCATACAATTGAAATACTCCGACTCAGAGAGCTGCAAAAGTCGATGTTTGAGTAACTAGAGTACAGTTTCAGTTATGTTCATACAATTTCATATATAAGTAATACATTTTATGCATATGCTTCTGTCGCATTGTAAACGATTTTTGATCAAGGGTAATGGCATTTTACTTTATTTCCGTGTGAGACTATGACGTTTAGGACTATTACATTTAGATGAAATGGTGTATATAAGAACACAATCTTAAACTTAGATGTTTTAGTGCATGTTGTTAAATACGATTATATACGACCGGTATGCGACGCTCATTCAAACTTAGCAATATATCTAGACTGTTATGCTAGTATTTTATGTTTTGTTTTGGTAAAGTAGGTCCTGAATTTATTCCTGGTGGATGCACTTGCTACAACGAATACTTCAAGATTAGGACTTCGCAATCTTTAATGTAGGAGAACGTAATACTTGAACACGATATAATTAAACAGATTTTTTACATGTTTGTTTACATAGACCTCTTCACACCTGTGACTTTTCTACATAGCTTGTGGTTGCATTATTTTTTTTGTCTACGACGCTGTGATCTACGGATGAAGTAATAAATCTCCCAAATTTAGTATGCTGAAGTTTGTGTTCAATTAATATAAAATAAATAACTCTACGACCGTATAGACATAATCTTTAAGAAAGAACCGATTAAGGTCAGCAGTTCTCAATACGTTTTATGAGATTTAGAAATAAAAGTTGATCTCGTTATCTAATATACAATATTAAAAATACAATATTTATAATTACATACATAACTAAATAAGCCACACATCTTGAAATTATGTATACAATTCTTAAACATAGCTAAAATGGAGTTTTATCCAGTAGGTATTTAGTTCTGAAAGTATGGCGAGTAAACTTAAGCTCAACTTTTTTAACAAACCGAAATGGTTATGTCGATCATTACATACTACTTTCCTTAAATCGCCAGTCGTTCTGACTTACATGTCAAGATCATTACTTCGTATAAAAGTAACTACCCGCGGCGTGCGATAACTTTTTGTTCAAGCACTGTGGGCTCATTGTTTCCAAATATGTAAGATAATTAATTATACTTACGCGTGTCTACACATATGAAATTGTAACTGCTTTGGCACATGGCGACGTTTAATTGTGCGTTGGAGTCTATATAAACACATGAGTCGTTCCTCACACCGTTGCTGGGTTCGAAGGTTTGCCACAGGTGACTAATATTGGCAGGACTACCGTCGGTCCATCTCCACACACCTTCCTCTTCCAGGTCGTTGGCTCCTATCCACACTGACGTTTATTAAAACATTGAAATAAAATGGTTCTCAAGATTAAAAAAAAATTCATTGTTAGTTTGGCAAACATTTATCTGCATTAATTGCGTATTTTTAAAATTAGAATTACATTTAAAATATATAATCAATTGAAATCTAACTACGTTATTATATATCATGAATTAAATTTATTGTATTATAGTGCGAATTTAATTATTATATGTAATTAGCCTGGTACAAACGAGTTTTCTCTTGTCACCTGGAGCGTTAGCCTCTGCTGCAATTATGTACATTTCCTCTTCTGTGAATATGGCTGCAAGAGTTCCAGGGCCCTTTAAGTCTGCACAAAACGACTAACTCACAAAAAAAAAGTATATGTATATATATATATATATATATATATATATATATATATATATATATATATATATATATATATATATATATATATATATATATATATTAATGAAGTGACAGTAGATTATGAGTTAAGATTGCATTCCTTAAATTATTTATACAAGAACAAACACATTTTATGAGTATTAAAAAAATATTCTAAACTAAAATTCAAGATATCTAAACGTGAAGTTGTTTAAGTATAACTTAGTCTCCATATTTGGGATTGTTCGATTCAAAAATCATTGTAAAATAATTTATAATTTAAACAATACCTTGGCTTCAGACCATGTAAGACTTTGATTAAAAATGTGATAACAGCGACCATTGATATATCTAGATCTCGGTGAAAGGATGCATGGTTTGTTTGCTATCACTTAATTTGTAAATAGAAGAGAAGTATAACTGTATGTCATATTTATTGAGTAATACTACTAAAGATAGAAATAAAACGTGAAAGATACAACTCAAGTTTACAACATGTTCTTCTGTAATTATGATGGAATCGTGAAGCTTAAGAACTTTGGTAGTGCATTCTGGGTGCGAAAACATTTTTTTACGTAATGGAAATTGATACAAGTTTTAAGGTTTGTGATATAAATAAAACATTACTATATAGGCTTACATGTATAAATGAAAATAATTAACAAAATAGTTACACATTATTTTCAAAATCAAACCAAACTATATCCGAAATACAAATATAAAAACAGTTTAACTAATTAGTTTTCTGGTACCACAAAAGAATTCGTCTACAGAGGAGCTCACTATAACGTAGAGCTACACTACTCAGTGATAATTAATTGTCGTAAGAGTGTCTAATACATCTCCGACACTTCGCTATCTTTTCTTCTTACTCAATTTTAATTTTTTTCCTATCAAAATTGGACATATTTTGGGAAAAACATTTCGGTTATTCGAAAGCAGTACTGATATGCAAACAAGCCAGAGAAGGACAATCTTATTATAAACTGTTTGCATTTAAACCGCGGCAGAAAACTAACTTATAGTAGATTAACATTCGTGAGTGTGGAGCGTGTGTTCTATTTAATTTTTCCACTCTTATATCTACTGATACAACGTCATACATGTCAATCAATTTAAGCTAAGGCGATTTACTCAATATGTGTTTGTTAAGTTAGAACGATAAATTCAAGGTGACTTGAGTCATTCCTTAACTATTGAACTTTGATAAGTATAAAAACATGTTGACAATTAATACTTAACTGTGTTGGAGTAAATCCCCCTTAAATATTTCAATTAGGAAAAAGGAAGAAGATGTCATGCACTTAAAAAAATGAAAGTGCATCTAGAACTCTTATCTATTAACTTGTTTGGGCTGTTATAGAAAATTATACAAAAAAAATACGTTCTCTATACATTAATTAAATTATGATAATCCTACAAAGAATGAGCTTACACGATTCATTAAATCCAAAGTGTAAGACAGCAATAACTTGTCGTGGCCCCATGGGCTTGTCATCTGATGAGAACCACTGGACATCACTGAGAGTGTCACTGTAGCAATAACACGTGGCTGACGTACCTATCAGTACTGACCCGTTGATGACCCGCTCACCTCTCGGACAGTTGGATATGACAACCTTTGCATCCACGTTGGTCGTTATGTCATCTATCAAATACATACACAAAGACATGTTTTTACTCATGCTTTTTGGGTCGGCATTATCGTTCGGTAGATACTTGCACACATTTATTTAATGTAATTTACGGTAAAAGTAACATTATTATCAGACCATAACATTAGTTTTAAGTAATGATTTAGTTTAGAGTGATTATAATAGTTAACGCTAGTATAAACGCTTGAGTTAGAAGCTAGGTTTTAGGTCAGATGAAGGTTGTGTTACTATTACTGAGCTTATTGGCTGTCGTGACTACAGTTGCAAACTTATGCACGGTTAAATGGGCTCGGTTCTCGTCTCATTATATCTGCACTGTCTTTTTCTGGACTATCTTATGTATCCTATTGATTTAATGCTGCTACCTCAGTTTTATGGAAGTTGCGTTTTTCCCTTTTAGGACTTCTGGGTATTTTTTTCAACTAAATCGCTTAAGATTTAAAGATACATATTATAGCTCCATAACTTTAAAACATATTCGTTTTGTATTTTTAACGCACAATACTTCAATTAAAAAATATATTTCCAAATAAGTGTTTCGCCTAATTTTGCCAATGCCATGCAAATATTGGTAAACACATTATCATAAAAAGGGTCACACCTTTATGCTACGATTATAATGCTGATAAAAAACATTATTTTATTTATTATTTAAAACATTCCTACATGAGTACTTGACTTTACCACCCCTTCATATGCCGAAGTCAGGAAACATATGAACACTTCGTCATAGATCGCTATTTTTAAGTGGAATCGTTAC